CGACCTTACAACTCTGTACAGGACGACTCTCTCTCTTTATCCACAGCGAAGCCTCAGAACTTCTGTTCTCTTCTTGATGATGTTAATACTATATTTACTTCATATTGTGCACCTCTTAATGTTACTCAGTTTTGCCAAACTAATCTTAGTAAATCAATAAAATGACTGCTTAATTTACCTCAGTCTAACAATAACCTAACTTTTCTTAGTAATGACGTCTCTTAAGCAGTATAATTGTTTGCTAGAAAAAGCTGACCTTATCCGAAGACACCTCAGCTCACTAACCTTGATGCTGTATAGCCCTTGTGGCTTAGCGCTTCTTTTTGATTATAATAATAATCACTAACCTTGTCATCAAACATTTTCAAAAATGAGGAATGTCAAGTCCAAGTATCGCACAAATTTTTTTGATATGTATTTGAATTCCATTCTAATAACTGCCTCCTCAAACTTGAAACCTCAGCTCAATATTTTGAAATTAAAAAAAAAAATAGTTTCATCATTCCCATTAATCTTGTGTAAATTAAAATTAATCTTATTTTTTATAATGGAATTTACTAACAGAATTGACTTATTTTATATTGCTTTATGGATCCACTCTATTTTATTCTCGGTTCATCTTTAAGTATGACTTACCTTTGTAATATTCTTATTTTTGTATTTACTGATTATAAGGTGATTATCCATTGTCCATCTCTAAATTATTGTGCCATTCCTAAATTATTGTGCCATTCCTAAATTATTGTGCCATTCCATAAAGCTTGCTGTGAGGTAACCCATGAAACTTACTATGAGGTAACTCATGAAGCTTGATATGAGGTAACCCATGAAGCTTGATATGAGGTAACCCATGAAGCTTGATATGAGGTAACCCATGAAGCTTGATATGAGGTAACCCATGAAGCTTGATATGAGGTAACCCATGAAGCTTGATATGAGGTAACCCATGAAGCTTGATATGAGATAACCCATGAAGCTTGATATGAGGTAACCCATGAAGCTTGATATGAGGTAACCCATGAAGATTGATATGAGGTAACCCATGAAGCTTGATATGAGGTAACCCATGAAACTTGATATGAGGTAGCCCATGAAACTTCATATGAGGTAACCCATGAAGCTTGATATGAGGTAACCCATGAAGCTTGATATGAGGTAACCCATGAAGCTTGACATGAGGTAACCCATGAAGCTTGATATGAGGTAACCCATGAAGCTTGATATGAGGTAACCCATGAAGCTTGATATGAGGTAACCCATGAAACTTGATATGAGGTAATCCATGAAGCTTGACATGAGGTAACCCATGAAGCTTGATATGAGGTAACCCATGAAGCTTGATATGAGGTAACCCATGAAGCTTGATATGAGGTAACCCATGAAGCTTGATATGAGATAACCCATGAAGCTTGATATGAGGTAACCCATGAAACTTGACATGAGGTAACCCATGAAGCTTGATATGAGGTAACCCATGAAGCTTGAAATGAGGTAACCCATGAAGCTTGATATGAGGTAACCCATGAAACTTGATATGAGGTAACCCATGAAGCTTGATATGAGGTAACCCATGAAACTTGATATGAGGTAACCCATGAAGCTTGATATGAGGTAACCCATGAAGCTTGATATGAGGTAACCCATGAAGCTTGATATGAGGTAACCCATGAAACTTGATATGAGGTAACCCATGAAACTTGATATGAGGTAGCCCATGAAACTTGATATGAGGTAACCCATGAAGCTTGACATGAGGTAACCCATGAAGCTTGATATGAGGTAACCCATGAAGCTTGATATGAGGTAACCCATGAAGCTTGATATGAGGTAACCCATGAAACTTGATATGAGGTAACCCATGAAACTTGATATGAGGTAGCCCATGAAACTTGATATGAGGTAACCCATGAAGCTTGACATGAGGTAACCCATGAAGCTTGATATGAGGTAACCCATGAAGCTTGATATGAGGTATCCCATGAAGCTTGATATGAGGTAACCCATGAAACTTGATATGAGGTAATCCATGAAGCTTGACATGAGGTAACCCATGAAGCTTGATATGAGGTAACCCATGAAGCTTGATATGAGGTAACCCATGAAGCTTGATATGAGGTAACCCATGAAACTTGACATGAGGTAACCCATGAAGCTTGATATGAGGTAACCCATGAAGCTTGATATGAGGTAACCCATGAAACTTGATATGAGGTAACCCATGAAGCTTGATATGAGGTAACCCATGAAACTTGATATGAGGTAACCCATGAAACTTGATATGAGGTAACCCATGAAGCTTGATATGAGGTAACCCATGATGCTTGATATGAGGTAATCCATGAAGCTTGATATGAGGTAACCCATGAAGCTTGATATGAGGTAACCCATAAAGCTTGATATGAGGTAACCCATGAAGCTTGATATGAGGTAATCCGCAAAGCTTTATATGAGGTAACCCATGAAGCTTGATATGAGGTAACCCATGAAGCTTGATATGAGGTAACCCATGAAGCTTGATATGAGATAATCCGTGAAGCTTGATATGAGGTAACCCATGAAGCTTGATATGAGGTAACCCATGAAGCTTGATATGAGGTAACCCATGAAGCTTGATATGAAGTAATCCATGAAGCTTGATATGAGGTAATCCATGAAGCTTGGTATGAGGTAATCCATGAAGCTTGATATGAGGTAATCCATGAAGCTTGATATGAGGTAACCCATGAAGCTTGATATGAGGTAACCTATGAAGCTTGATATGAGTTAACCCATGAAGCTTGCTATGAGGTAACCCATGAAGCTTGATATGAGGTAACCCATGAAGTTTACTATAAGGTAACCCATGAAGCTTACTATGAGGTAACCCATGAAGCTTGATATGAGGTTACCCCATGAAGCTTGATATGAGGTAACCCATGAAGCTTACTATGAGGTAACCCATGAAGCTTGATATGAGGTAACTCATGTTTAAACTGCAAAAAACCTACTATGTAAAACCGTTTCAACCTAATTAAAATAACAATACATATTAATTCACATTTCAAGCTTTCCTGTATAATACCTCAGCTTATTAGTCTTCATGATCCTACATTCAAACTGGAAAGATATTTATAAATAAGCTTTATCCTTTACCCCAAAACGTTGTACATAATATGATCTCTACCAGATATAATAATGCTTTTCTTCTCTCTTTCTTTCTCTCTTTTGGGAATAAAGTCATACTAACATTATTATATTTATTATCATCATTATTATTTAGACATGTTTTATTTGCAGTAATGTTTCAATATTAATAAATTCCCCGTTAGTTTCTAACACTTCAGTGGTAGATGTTAATCAGTGCAACTGCGTCACAGACAATATAGATTTTCTGAATGGTGGCAGAGTAATTACTCAAGTACCATCTGTTGACAGTGTTATAGAGTGTGCAAACGTCTATGTGCTTGTCTATCTGTTACAAAATGTCATAGCTGACACAGTCCTTATGATGGTGAGAACAAAAGTCGTAACAGTGTGGTCTGGTAGTTACCTAACAGCATATGTTTTTTCTATACTTATTAAGGGATAATAGATAAATATTCTGTCTAGTGATGCTTTGCTTTCTGCTGTGGCATAAACTGATGTGTGTTGCGTTCTGATGATATTATATGTCTATATGGATGATCGTCTTTTAGGTTTTATAGAGTAAGTTCCGCCTTGTACTGTTGAATTGATTTATTATAAGAATCAGGTAACTTAATTCAGTATTGATTTATTAAATCATTTAGCTTGAAATTGTACATATAAAGATCGTAGTGCAGCGGTGACTAGCCTGCGGCCCTACTGCCATATACTGTCCTTGCATTGAATTTGTGTGGCCCTCAAGATGAGTCACATTTAAGTGGCCCTCAAGATGAATCACATTTGTGTGGCCCTCAAGATGAGTCACATTTAAGTGGCCCTCAAGATGAATCACATTTGTGTGGCCCTCAAGATGAATCAGATTTGTGTGACCCCTCAAGATGAGTCAGATATGTGTGGCCCTCAAGATGAGTCAGATATGTGTGGCCCTCAAGATGAGTCAGATATGTGTGGCCCTCAAGATGAGTCAGATATGTGTGGCCCTCAAGATGAGTCAGATATGTGTGGCCCTCAAGATGAGTCACATTTGTGTGGCCCTCAAGATGAATCAGATTTGTGTGGCCCTCAAGATGAATCAGATTTGTGTGACCCCTCAAGATGAGTCAGATATGTGTGGCCCTCAAGATGAGTCAGATATGTGTGGCCCTCAAGATGAGTCAGATATGTGTGGCCCTCAAGATGAGTCAGATATGTGTGGCCCTCAAGATGTAACAAACTTCACATGTCTCTACACACTACGATCTTGATAATCCATAAATACGTTTCATATGTTTAAGTTTATTCATTTATTAATTATATAAATATGTTGAATAGTTCTCGGGTGTTAAATACCTGTCTTTAAAGTTTCAAAACTTCATCTGAGTCCGAGTGAACCAAAAAAAAAATAAAATAAAAAAGGTGTGTGATCTGTGGTTCAAAAGCTCCAGCTGCTGGTCATTATATGACTAAGACCCGCGTCAGGAAACACCTGTTCAAGTCAACTGCCATAATGTACTTTGTGTTGCTTAACAAGTCAGCTGTTATGACGTACTTCGTGTTGTCTAACAAGTCAATTGTTATGATGTATTTTGCATTGTATTAATCTTTCAATGGTAACTCTCATGCAGATAAAATATTTTCACATTGATGTTATAACCCTCTGGTTATAGTGTACGTTGTGCTTATTTTTTTAATGTTATTGTTGCCACAGGAAGGTGACGTTGCATTTGACGCTCCAAACCACTGAGATGTCTTGCCGGGCACAGAGAAAATATGTCTAATTCATTACTGTTTGTTAATGATCCGCCACTTAAAATTCTGTATTTGTCTTATGTGTTGGTGATGTGTTTGTAGCTCAGTGGAGCGGTATAGCGAGTGACGTGTGCCATTACTGTCAACAGAGCAGACCTCCGGGCGCATCAGGGCCACCGCCTCCAGCTTACTCTCTCGCAACCCAGCCTCCAAGAGGACCTCTACCTCTGTCTCCCGCCAGACCTCCAATTCTCTCACTCACCAGACCTCCAGCTCGGTCTCTCGTCAGACCTCCAATTCTCTTTCCCGTAACCCACTATCACCTCAGTCCTCCCTCTCCCTCTCTCGTGTGTCTTCAGGAAATATGAACGCCTCTAAGCACACATCCAGCTCGTTTTCCTCGCAGGAGCCAACCAGGCACAGACAAATCACCAGTCAGAACCCAGACACACTATCCAGCCAGCAACTGGTGAACACGAGTGAAGCCAAAGAAATCGACAGCCCCACGCAGGCTACCTATGATAGGGAGGAGCTGGGGGTCTTGAGCAGTGAGGGACCCGGGGAGTGTCAGCTGGATCCCGCTATAAAAAGTGACATCAAGACCAGTGGAAATCCAAGTCAAATCGAGAGCGGCGGGGCTCTCGAGGGAAGAAACAGAGATCAATTCAATCACAGGGCCGAGGAAGGTGGCAGGGGTCAGTTGAATTCCAAGAACAAGGAACGTTCCAAGAGCGATGTAGATCCTATGAATCAGGGAAGTCCCTTAAACCGTGGAAGCCGCGACAGTGACACTCAGAGGAGAAGGGAGAACTTTTTCCGGGCCAGCAGCAGTGACGCACGTCTTGTCTTTCCCGATATTGAAGAAGAAAATTTTGTATCTAACGGTGATGGAATACAACTGGAGCAAGAGTTGACGACGAACAGTGATGAACGGTTATTTAAGGAGTTGTTATGCCTTAAACATAACAACGAACAGTCAACCAAAGAACAGCTGTTAGCAAATAATGATCAACAAGCTGAGAAAGGATATGGTTATAAGCAACTGCTAGAGGGAAACTTAATTTTGAACAATGGTTGAACATGTCAAGGGGTATACAAATGATGCTACACTGTGAAAGTCGTTGAATATATTTCTCACTGACCGGAGGTGTTCTCTTGTACACATTCAAGAAAAAATCTAAAGAGCACATTGGACACGAGTGTTTAGAGTGGAGAGATATTATTAATTTTGTTTTGTGAAGTTACTTTTTTTGATAAGCACTTTGCTACAAGTCGTAGAAGAACAATTCGTTTCTGTTAGTGAATGAACAGTATCTTAAGTGCTAATGGGTGAGCTGTACACACTTTGTGAACACTTGCAACACAAACTGTGCTTCTGATTGTGGGTAATTGTTATTATATATTTACATAGAGCATTTAGCAGGTGTGGGTCTTTCGGCACACTAGTGGAGGCTCCAACCTCCGTTCGTTAATCACCGGACTCGTAGACAAGCTTTCCCTTAATGGTGAGCAAGCACTTAACATCTGTTAGAAAATGGACAGACAACCAAAATGACCTGACGTCGCCTAGCTCTGTCTGTTCTATTATTTACTATGTATACTGAACATTAGTCGTGCTACCTTGTTCATACACTTGTTCACTGTCGTGGACATCAGTGGAAAAGCGAGTTCAATAAGCGGTTCGCTGGTGCATTTAGTCTAACAGCCAAGGGGTGAACCTGTTATTGTCGCTAGTCCATTTTATTTTTCCTCAAGACTGTTACCATTAGGGATCTCATGAATGTCACCGTGAAAGCATTGAGAATTTTGCAGAATTCTCAGAAATCCATAACAGCCGCCACAATAAATGGATGTATATATTGCTTTTAGTTATAACTTTACTTCTAATATTAATATTTTTACAATATTAAAACATCTAAACCTCTGTTTTTCCATCTAGAGAATTCATTTTTTTGGTCCGTGCAAATTCATCACTAAGATTTTCAGTGACCAAAAATGAATTGATAAGGTGGCTGCTGTAGTGCTTTCTGGTTACCATTTGATAAATAATTCACACTGAGGAAGAATGCACATACATCACTCATTCTTTTAGTTCACTACACTATCCTCTACACTTCGTACGTGACTGCGGGAAACCTGCGACACGAATCCTCAACAAGACCAGCATCAATCAAGATGAAGAGAAGCCTCCAAGTTACATCGTTTTACCGGTCAGCGACGTTACGACTAACGTTTCAACACATTTTGACAGAAAACTAGCTAAATTATCCACCTGCTCATCAACTACTACTAAAAACTTGGTACAAAAACCCAAGAATGACTTTGGTACTAGTGGAGTGTACATTATACCATGTGGGGGATGGGACAAAGTATATGTAGGGAAAACAGCCAGATCTTTGGACATTAGGATCAGAGAACACAAAAACGCTTGCAGCAATGATGGCCGTAAAAACGCGCGTAACTTAGGGACGATGTTGGACACCTCATGAAATTCAGTGAGGCTAAATTAGTGATTTAAAAAGACGATTTACGGCGGAGAAAGTGCATAGAAACTGCCCAAATTTCTGTCAGTAACACTATCCATCAAAAGTCTGGTAGTTACACTATATCCAAATGGCTAATCAACAGGATATTATCCATTCTGGAGACCCTTGCAACGTGATGTTAACACGTCCTTCTCTAACCCAACCCGTTTCACCACAGTTACTATCACTACTTCTACTACTACTACTACTACCACCACCACTATTACTACTACCCACGCGACACTCCACCTGATTCTTGCCACTTAGTTTTCTCTGTATTAGGACTGAAGAAGCTACTCGTGGCAAAACGTTTCCTTTAATAAATGTTCTGAACTGTACATGAGTGTCTTTTTCCACATCTTATCAGCATCACCATATCATTTCTCAACGATGCAGAAGTTTCCTGGTTTCCTAATATTAGAAAAATATTCCGACACACACTGTCCCTCACACAGTGGCGCTCGCACACTGTCTTCACATACTGTCCTTCTAAACACTGGAGTGTGCGAGGTTAACACTTGTCACTATACTGAGAATTACCAAACTTGAAATTGTTTGGTTGCCTGGGATAACTGAAGGTCTGATTTGGTCAGCTTCAAACATTTACTTAACGAATGGTTCGCGTTGTTATCGAGGTGCGCAAGTCCCAGTTTCCTAATTTCACTAAGTAAATTGTGACACTGATTTCCATTCAATAACTGGAGAATGTGTCTTCATATCGACATCAAACGTTTAATGCTGATGGATTATAGAAGTAGGATGACACCCTATAAGCTTAGGCTGTGTAAGTATAAATTTGCCAATATACAAACAGAATTAAAAATCTTGGTGTCATTGGATTCCGTTCAATAACTGGTGTGTAGGTGTCAATTTGCCAATATTGTTTCTAAAATATTTTGTAATTTCTTCCGTGAAAGATCCTGATTATTCCCTTTAATACAAGTTTAAGCTGTAATGGATGATGCATCATATGAAGAGGATTGTACCTCTTGTGTTTAGATTTTTGTGGTGATAATAGGCTAGTTTACTAACACTGTTGACAAAATTGGAAATGCTGGGTTTCGAGTGATAACTAGGGACTGTTTCTTCTGGTCGGCTTCAACTTTTAGTGCTGGTTCATGTTTCTGAGAGACAGTTTTACACTGATTTTGGGTTGTACAAGATCTAATTTGCCAATTTAATTAAACAAATTGATCTCCATGGAACAGCTGGAAAATGCCTCTTCTGATTGCCTTCAAATCTTATACACTGACATTCCCTACTTAGATAAAAATTTCAATTGATTTTGTTCTACAGTGTTGTCAAGTTGTGAATTTTACCGAATAAAATGGGAAACTTGAAATGCTGGTTTCCATGCGATATTTTGTGAATGCTTCATCCGACTGGCTTCAAACCTTCAAGGCTGATAACTTGATAATGCAGGTTCTCAGAAGTTTTAAACTTAGAGTACTGGTGTAATTTGGGAAATTGGTCTTTGTCCAATAACTAGAAAATGCCTCTCGTGATTGGCTTTAAAATTTAAAAGATGATGTGTCTTATGTAGTAAAAGATTCATATTAGTTTTCGGCTTTATTGGTGACAATTTCTCATTTCACTGAAGAAAACGGGATATTGGTTTCTATGTGATAACCTGAAAATGTCTTTTCATATTGCCGTCAGATTTAACTGCACTGAAAACTTGTACTTTTGCATGTTTTGAGGTAGATAGGGCTGGGCTTATGAGATATTGGATACCAATGAAACAGGTTTGAGGAACACAGTATATCGATTATGCATTTCCGGTCAGGGGTCACTAATCGAACGGCTTTACAGTCGAGTTCATTACTCACCATAATCCAGACAGTAAGTGTAAACTGAATAACAGCGAATTACTCTCGCTATTAGCTGACGGAGGGTCGATCCTTCATCATTCCCTGCGCTAAATGACCCTCATGAATTTAGTGCTTCACGTAAGTGTCGGTGTCCACAATTTAGTTCAGAGGACATTTATATATTGGACAAAGGAATATCTATACATTAACTAAAACTGCATGAATTTAATAGGGGGTAAGAGGACAATAATATAATTGCTCCTTTCCACTGTGCTCCTTCCACACCGTTGAACGCTGGTAATATGTTGTCAACGTCAGCGTTGTATTGGAGAGTCAGTGCGAGGCTGTCCAATACAAAGTTCGCTACCAGCGTCAAGGTTCCTTTCCATGAAGGATTTTCATAAATAGAACACTTTACATTCTTAGTTTTATATACTTTTCTTGGAGTCTTCAAGATCGCAGATGTTTGTGTAGTCTGCGTAATTTAGGTAATACCTATTGCAGTAATACCCATTACAGTAATATCCATTAGTTAACAAAGTATTTATAATGTTCCTAACTAGGTGGATTGCTGGTTGAATGACCCTAGTGTAGTCGATTAGTTTTAAACGCTGGTCACATTGTTTGGTAGGACCTTCAGCTCACATCCCAAGGACTCGGGATGAATCCTGGGATAGTTGGAGACAATGGGCAGGTTTCCTTAAATGTGCAGCCCCTGTTCACTTAGCAGTAAAGACGAAATGGGTGATAATCGGCTGTTGTGGGTTGTATCCTAGGGGTGGGCATAATATACTTCAGATAGTATACCTCAGACAGTATACCTCAGATAGTATATCTTACATTGGGCTGGGCTTTGAAATAAGCTGAGGATGGAGAACAGATCATAGCCAGTAACTTCAATGGTGTATAGACAAAAACATTTGTTTCCTAATATTAAAAAATATTCCCATCATTTTTTTCTCAAAAAATATTTTATATAAAAATGATAACAGTACGATAAAAAAATTATTAACCTCTTTTTAAATATACAAAAATAAGAAGCGATGAAAATGTGAATGTAAACAAAGTACAGATTGTGAAATAAATATTGACTTAGATGTGTTAGTGAGTTGTCAACACAGAGTATTGTGTCTTAACTACTGTGTGGTGATCCAGGGACACTACTGTGTGGTGATCCAGGGACACTACTGTGTGGTGATCCAGGACACTACTGTGGGTGATCGGACACTACTGTGTGGTGATCCAGGGACACTACTGTGTGGTGATCCAGGGACACTACTGTGTGGTGATCCAGGGACACTACTGTGTGGTGATCCAGGGACACTACTGTGTGGTGATCCAGGGACACTACTGTGTGGTGATCCAGGGACACTACTGTGTGGTGATCCAGGGACACTACTGTGTGGTGACCCAGGGACACTACTGTGTGGTGATCCAGGGACACTACTGTGTGGTGATCCAGGGACACTACTGTGTGGTGATCCAGGGACACTACTGTGTGGTGATCCAGGGACACTACTGTGTGGTGATCCAGGACACTACTGTGTGGTGACCCAGGGACACTACTGTGTGGTGATCCAGGGACACTACTGTGTGGTGATCCAGGACACTACTGTGTGGTGATCCAGGGACACTACTGTGTGGTGATCCAGGGACACTACTGTGTGGTGACCCAGGGACACTACTGTGTGGTGATCCAGGGACACTACTGTGTGGTGATCCAGGACACTACTGTGTGGTGATCCAGGGACACTACTGTGTGGTGATCCAGGGACACTATTGTGTGGTGATCCAGGGACACTACTGTGTGGTGACCCAGGGACACTACTGTGTGGTGATCCCAGGATACTACTGCGTGGTGATCCAGGGACACTACTGTGTGGTGACCCAGGGACACTACTGTGTGGTGATCCCAGGATACTACTGTGTGGTGATCCAGGGACACTACTGTGTGGTGATCCCAGGATACTACTGCGTGGTGATCCAGGGACACTACTGTGTGGTGATCCAGGGACACTACTGTGTGGTGATCCAGGGACACTACTGTGTGGTGATCCCAGGATACTAATGCGTGGTGATCCAGGGACACTACTGTGTTGTGATCCAGGGACACTACTGTGTGGTGATCCAGGGACACTACTGTGTGGTGATCCAGGGACACTACTGTGTGGTGATCCCAGGATACTACTGCGTGGTGATCCAGGGACACTACTTGTGGTGATCCAGGACACTACTGTGTGGTGATCCAGGGACACTACTGTGTGGTGATCCAGGGACACTACTGTGTGGTGATCCCAGGATACTACTGCGTGGTGATCCAGGGACACTACTGTGTGGTGATCCAGGGACACTACTGTGTGGTGATCCAGGGACACTACTGTGTGGTGATCCCAGGATACTACTGTGTGGTGATCCAGGGACACTACTGTGTGGTGATCCAGGGACACTACTGTGTGGTGATTCAGGGACACAACTGTGTTGTGATTCAGGGACACTACTGTGTGGTGATCCAGGCACACTACTGTGTGGTGATTCAGGGACACTACTGTGTGGTGATCCAGGGACACTACTATGTGGTGATCCAGGGACACTACTGTGTGGTGATCCAGGGACACTACTGTGTGGTGATCCAGGGACACTACTGTGTGGTGATCCAGGGACACTACTATGTGGTGATCCAGGGACACTACTGTGTGGTGATCCAGGGACACTACTGTGTGGTGATCCAGGGACACTACTGTGTGGTGATCCAGAGACACTACTTTGTGGTGATCCAGGGACACTACTGTGTGGTGATCCAGGGACACTACTGTGTGGTGATCCATGGACACTACTGTGTGGTGATCCAGGGACACTACTGTGTGGTGATCCAGAGACACTACTGTGGTGATCCAGGGACACTACTTTGTGGTGATCCAGGGGCACTACTGTGTGGTGATCCAGGGACACTACTGTGTGGTGATCCAGGGACACTACTTTGTGGTGATCCAGGGACACTAACTGTGTGGTGATCCAGGGACACTACTGTGTGGTGATCCAGGGACACTACTGTGTGGTGATCCAGGGACACTACTGTGTGGTGATCCAGAGACACTACTGTGTGGTGATCCAGGGACACTACTGTGTGGTGATCCAGGGACACTACTGTGTGGTGATCCAGGGACACTACTATGTGGTGATCCAGGGACACTACTGTGTGGTGATCCAGGGACACTACTGTGTGGTGATCCAGGGACACTACTGTGTGGTGATCCAGGAACACTACTGTGTGGTGATCCAGGGACACTACTAATGTGGTGATCCAGGGACACTACTGTGTGGTGATCCAGGGACACTACTGTGTGGTGATCCAGGGACACTACTGTGTGGTGATCCAGAGACACTACTTTGTGGTGATCCAGGGACACTACTGTGTGGTGATCCAGGGACACTACTGTGTGGTGATCCAGGGACACTACTGTGTGGTGATCCAGGGACACTACTGTGTGGTGATCCAGAGACACTACTGTGGTGATCCAGGGACACTACTTTGTGGTGATCCAGGGGCACTACTGTGTGGTGATCCAGGGACACTACTGGTGGGTGATCCAGGGACACTACTGTGTGGTGATCCAGGGACACTACTTTGTGGTGATCCAGGG